TATATATACACACACATACACACACACACACACACACACACACACACAGGGCTACTAGCCTCTGGGCTCCTTGCCTCTTCACTAGGCTCCATGCCCTTTGCTAGGTTCTCCAGGCCTCCCAACTGCCGCTTTAGTGTGGGCCATTAGGTGCCTGAATGCACCCCGCTTTACACCTCCACCTAGGCACACACTCCACCCCTACGCTGGGGGCCTGGTATCAAGCACACCCCGCAGGCTCAGGTGCCACTCGCCAGTGTCTGACCCACTGCTCTCATTCCTCAGAGTCTTGCACCCCACATGGGCTAAGGTGGCCACAGCCATGTCTAGCCCCGCTCTCCACTCTCCTGGGTTTTGCACCCCACATGGGCTCAGGTGGCCACAGCCGTGCCTGGCCCCCAACTACCTGGGTGTGGGGCGGGACACGGACACTCACAGTGCGTGTGCAAGAGGAGAGGTCTGCTCCCCAGCCAGCGACAGCCTCCTGGAGAGGCCCAGCTGATGTTAAATGACCCACCCGAAGGCGGGGGCTAGGGTTTAGGGTGGTAACTAGCCTGGCATTTCTGAGGGGCTGTTCTGCCACAAACAGCCCCACCAGGCCACCCATCCCCAGCAGGGTGCAGTTTTAGGTCATGTCCAGGACCAACAGCCTTCTAAACATCCCCATATGCCCTTTCCCTTACCTCCTAGTGCTATCGGAGCAGCAGCTCCACCAGGAGATGTTGTTTCTTTGGTGCCAGGTAGCAGAGTGCTGCCTCCAGCTCTACTGGCCTGGATCTTAAAATGGTTGCTCATCAGAGCTGGGCCGCACCTTCCAGTTGACTCTTCAGGCTCTTAAAGTGGCAGACACCAGGGGAGCTCTGCCACACACCTCTCCCCTTAGAATAGCTCCCGGGGGGGGGGGGGGGGGGGGGGTCATGATGTTCCCCCTGCTGTTCTGTCAAAGCAGGCTCCCCTCAGAGCCTGTGAGAGCCCTCGAGTGGCAAGCATCCCCAAAGGTACTCTACCACAACCATGATTAGTGTTGTCTCTCTCTTGGCCATGCATACAGCACAGGTAACTCAACTGTTTACTTGCTACATGGGCAACCTAGCTGTTCCCCTCCCCCCTGCCCCCCCACTGCAAGTACACTACCCTCCTAGCACCTGCTCCCAGAAGCAGGGGCAGGAAGTAGAAACCTGGGGTGGGGGGGAAGGATGGGGGAAAAGAGTCTAGAGACTTTGGTTGCTGGAGCAGCAGGAGCCAAGTGGCTGGGTTGGAACCCATGGACCATATGTTAATCCCTCACAGGTCACACACGGCCCATGGGCCACCAGGTAGACAGTCCTGTTCTAAAGCAATATACCACCCACTGTAGAGGAAGACTTAGCCAATTTAGATTTTTGAGGATATGGATCCCAAACTACTAGATCTAAGAACCACTTAAGTCTGTCAAAGTATCACTCTTCTTTTTCTTATATTTTTTTTAATAAAAAAAAAGTTAAAAAAAAAAAAAAGCATAAAATCCAGATGCTAGAAGTGGAAGTAAAGAGGGGGTAGTGCATGAAGTCACTTATTTCCCAAGTCTCCCCTCAACTGACAAAGAGATATATAAGAGATCTTGCAGAGGCTGTTCTGAAACGACTTTCACCCTCCATGAATGCTAAGAGTTACCATTTGTACATAAATATTCTTGTACCTAGCTGCTTCATTGATGAGGCCATCGGGCTTCTCCTCCTTCAAACTCTGAAAAAAGATTGAACATAATTACTACATCAAAAGTAGTCTAACAACAGAGGCTCATGCTTACACAAACATGATTTTAGATACCCTTTAAAATAAGAAGCAGAAGACGACAACACCTATATTTTTATATAAAAGTGACAGTAAAGAAGCCGAAATATATAAATTAATTCTTTATGGATAATATAATTGCTTCTCTACCATTTATCCCTTTTTTATTTTAAAGTAAAATAAACCTAAAGTAAACTGGAATTGTCTTAGCATGCTGCGCTATTGCCAGTTTTTATTTATACTCTGTAACCAAAAAGGTATAGCAGTTATTCTTTTAGGTTTGGTTCAGGTAATCATCCATATGCAGATACCTTTTTCCCCTGGCTTATTTACCAAAGTTTGCCTATTTAGGGACAATTGACATCCATGTCTCTTGCCAATGGTTACATTTGTAGGCTGTCATTTCTCACTGAGGCATTAACATTTGTTTTCAGACTACTGAAATTATCAGGGGACACGAGTCAACACTTGATGAACCTGCAATATTACACAGGATTGCATTTACCCTGTTTTCTCACAGATGAGCCACTGATTCTATAATCAAGTACGCTATTTAAAAATTGATTTGATTTTAAAATACTGCCAATTTAGGATGAAAATCATTTCCATGGCAAGCATGTCAATGTACAAAATAGGAAACTCATTCCAAAATAGGTTTGGTAGAAGTTTAACACTAGTTGGATCTCAGAAAAAAAATGTCATTGTATAATGTCAGTCTATTTATTTTCCTGCCTTTTTCAGTCAAAACTGTTTTCTGACTGAATTGTTTAAATGGTTCGTGCAATAACAGGAGGACTGGAAAGAAACCTCTCCTTTGACCTTTTCTCTGTAACTCGCTACTTATTGATTCTATTGCATTAAATGCTGTCAGATGTGTTGCTCTGAAAAGAACAATGTCAGTGGCCTGGGCGTCAGGTCCTGAGAGTGGAGAACTGTCATTTTAAGTTGTCCAATTGTTTGCCCGTGATTAAAAAATGAATATTTCAGATTGTTGGGTGACAGTCCCATTACAGTGATAGCCCATGATATCAATTACCACTTCAGTTTCAATTTGGCTGGCTGGCCACGGGGTTCTGTTGCTCAGCCTTACTTGTGATGGGTTGGGTCTTTGAAGCATGACATCCTTAAATTGCTGCCTATTACCCCAGTGTCATTACTTGTATTGCCTTCAGAATTCTTTGAATCACAACCTGCTGCTCAGGTCAAGCTTTGAAACGAGAGGAATTGGACAAGTTAGCAAATTCTTTATACAAAGCAAAAGTTATTTATCCTGTGTACGACTGAGAAAAATCTAAAGTTCCTATTATCCTAACAGCATGTCAGTTTTGGGCAGGTTTATTGATTAATAATGTAAGAGGTTTCATTGGACTGGGAAACATGTTCAAAATTCACTACATATTTATTATTTCAAAACATTTTTGCTGTTGGCAGCACTGTAGTCAACAAGTCTAATTTCTGGGTTTGGTGAATGTTTTATAAACAATTTTACAGGGCAATAATATAATTAAAACAGTATGCACCAAAGTATAAACCAATGCAGAAATTGTCAGCATTGTTCTTTTGTTTTCTTTTGATAGCCTATATAACATATTTTGCAAGTAATGAAACATCCTCAAGACACTGGGGCATATCAGCCTGGAATTAAAAACTCTGGACATTTACTCCACTATTGTACAGCTTTGGCCAAATCATTTACTTTCTCTTACTTTCTTTAGTGATAAGAAAAACTAATACTACTTGTCCCATAATGGCGTTATAAGGCTTTGTGAAAGTGTAAAATACTATTAGGTTACTACCCAAATAGAATACTTTTTGAATATACCATGTCTTCCTAAGGATAACAGACTACTCTGTGTTTTATCAAAATAGAATGCAATGTCAAATTATTCCAGTAATTTAGATCATTCAGGCATTTAATTCTCCCTCAGAATCAGAGATAATATAGTTTTTTATTCATAACTTGCTTTTACTTCATTAAAAAAATTCATCTGATGTCAGAAACAATCTCTATCCCCGCATCCCTCCTAGCTTAGTTATCCCAAAATCAGAATTAGTATCAAATTGCATGTTTAAACAATCCCTTATATACATGGTTAAATGTTTTAGTAACCTTGCCATTTGCCCACTTTACCATTTTGATTTCAATTCTCTACATTTCTTCTCTTTCCAGTGCTATAAGAGGAGAGCACTTGTGGGGGGAGGGGAAAATTTCCCAAACATTTCAATGAAGTTTGGTAAACTTCATTACTAATACAATCTCACCTAGCTTAGTTTCTCCATTATTTTACCTACATGTTTCATATTTGTTTCCCTCAAATATGCTTTAAAAGTCACAAAAAAGTGTGGATGCTGAACCCTACAGAACAGAAAACAAGGAGATCAACAGAAGACTGCAAGTTCTCCTAAGATTTCTATATTTAGTTCCACATTTCAGTCTGTGGAGAACAGTAAATGTAAAACCAGAAAAAATATTGAGATATTAAATCAGAGATACTCAAACATTTTCAGTGTTGAACGTATCTTTAGAGAAATTCTTGTGGGGAAGTCTGATCTCATGTCTGACTATGTGCATTACCTCTCTTTCAAGCTCAGAATCATGCAGTATTTCCTAGCAGTTCTCTCTCAAAGAACAGGTTTTAGCTGTCTTTGATCCAGTTTTCAAATGAATTAATGCTTTTCACTTCATCGCCCTTTTTGACCTTGCCTGTTCTTTTCCCTCCACACATCTGTTGGCCACACCTCCAATTCCTATCCCTTCCAATTCCCTGGGCCTCCTTTGAACCAACTGTGATGTCCTGGCTCTTCTCTCTCTGTAGCACAATGGTTCCCTTCTTCTGATTACCCTAAATATTCCTCTTCTACTTGAAGTTTAAATCCCACTGGTAATTGCCTACTCCAGTCCCTGAGGTCAGCTCCTATTCCTCTTCTTTCAAATCGCACTGATCAACAGCAGAGGCCAATGTCATGGCTTTTCACACTGCTTTTATAGGTATTCAAGTTCTTATATGAAATGAAAAGCCTAGGTCCTTGTATCAACAAATGGAAACTGAGAGGAGCAAGCACCAACTGTCTTGGTCAGGTCTCAATAAAAAAGTTCAGACAATAGTTTTATAACAAACCACAGCTATTGCAGCATATTGTCACTCATCCCAAGATGACCATAAAAGATTAATCTCCAAAATAAAATATGCATGAAAACATCATTTCTATCACTTTTGCTGTTATGGTTTAAAATGTCTTAAAATAATATTAGTATCTTACCTGCAATCCATACTTAGCATCAACAACAGATACAATACCTGGAAAGAGTATGTAAAAATGACAGGACTGAAAAATACTGATCAAGAAATAAATTGAAAATTGCTAAGTAAACTAAAAACTGCTAGTGTATGTTAGCTTCTTGCACAATAGCAATGCAGCCTCAGTAGTTAAGGTAACATAATTTCTACTCTACTCCCATTCTCGGTTGCACATTATTTTCCAAATCATCCCCCCATCTGGCTGATAATATCATGCTTGTTTCACACATAGGGTCGTATTTCATACTTATCATTCTGGTATTTAGTGTCTACCAAAAACTGAAGTATGCACATAAAGCAGGCACAGCTCTCCCAAGTCAGCATAGTATGAACTGCAGGAGGGGAGGGGGAAGAGGAGCAAGGTTGTAATGTTGTTATAGAAAAAAACCCAGATCAGAACAGCAGGTTCTACATACAGTCTGCAGGAACTGAGGTCTTGGTAACTTTTGGGAGCAAGTTCCAGATGCATGGCTATTTGTCAAGAGAGCTGGCTCCTGCCCACAACTGAGCTTCAAGCAAAAGTGGTCACCACAGTAAAACACATCTGGCATAAGGGGTCACACACAAACAAGATTAGGTGGTCCCAAATGTAACCTGGGCCACAGTGAAAGTGCCCCAGAGCCTTGAATTTGAAGTAGGATTCATTAGGTAGCCTGTTAACAGAGCAGACAACTTATTCTCTACTCTAATAATCTCAACAGAGTGTTGACCAGTTATGGAGATGACAGGCTGTTGTGCAGGTAGAACGAAAATTATTTCAGAGAGGTTAACAGTAAAAGTGGGTAGAAGAACAGTAAAAATTTAAACAAAATGAACCCCCAACTACAACTCACTGTATACAATAACAGAAAACTCTAGAGACACTTAACATTACAGTAAGGGTATCTCAGAGTATGAACTTACATCATGGCAGGTACTCTGCAGTAGCCCATGTGTGTATTTTTGACCCTGCAAGGTAATTTGGAGTAAAAGTGTACACCTGATTGCAGAGTAGCTGATTAAGCTGTAAACTTACAGCTTAGTTTACTTTACAGTAACTTGTTGTGCCAATAACTTAAGCTTTAGGAGACTAAGTAGAAACACCAGCAAGTTCAAATCACTATGGTATTGCTGTTCAATGACAGAACAAGCACATGAAAGAGTGGCAGGAAAAGAAATGGGGGTAAAAAAAAAACAAACAACCAATATAAGCAGCAGGTAGAGTGCATACAGAAATAGATCCAGATGTAAACAAATTTGAGAGTCCAGAAGGAAGCAACAAGAATGTTAAAAGGTTTATATAACATGGCTTATGAGGAAAGTTGAAGGAACTGGGTTTATTTAATCTAGAAAAGAGAAGACAGAAAGGGAACATGTTAACAGTCTCCTGTATGTAAAAACAAGATGGTGATCAATTGTTCTATGTGCTCCTTGACAGAAGTACAAGAAGAAATTTGCTTTAATTCACAGCAAAGAAAATTTAGCTGAGTGTCAAGAAAAGCTTTTAAACTGTTGTGCTGGTAAAACACTGTCCCCAACAGATCTTTTAAAAAAAAATCACAAATGACAGAGATTCCCCAGTATCTCTAGAGAGCACATTAGAATATGCTCTCTAGAGATACTGGGGAATCACTGTCATTTGTGATTTTTTTTTTAAAAGATCTACTGGGGACAGTCCAGGTGAATGTGACTCTTGCTTCAGTGCAGGGGAAAGACTTTCTAGAGCAATGGTTCTCAAGCTCCTTTGACTCAAGGCACCCCTTGGAAAATGCCAGCTCTCGGTTTTCACTTGTTTTTTGACTACAGAAAAAGAATACAGCAGTTCATGTGTTGAGAAGAACTCCGAAAGATCACAACAGGTCAGAATGTTTTTAATATGTTGGATTCCCAGTTGAAATCTCAGGCAATGTTCTTTGAGTAGATATGATATATTTTATTAGACCAACTGAATAGATGGAAAAAAGTTCTTGGCAAGCTTTTGGGTGCTGTCACCCTTTGTCAGGAATAGGGAGTCTCTGTTGTTTTGGGACTCCAAGAAATGAGAGAGGCTAAAAGTGTGGCAGGATGTCAGTTAAAATGTAAATAGATAGAAATTAGAAAGACAAAAGGTAAAGCAGAGAGGGGAAGGGGCAAGGGGGAGAGAGCAGGGGAGGAGAAAAAAGGCTGAAGGGAGGCATTACAGTGATAGAATAGAAGGTAGAAAAGAGGCTGTCAGGTGAAAGGAAAATAGGAGGAGATCAAGAAAACAGCATGAGAGAAGTTCAAAGTGTAAGAGGATGTAGTGAAAATATAAATAGGTAAAAAGCAGAAACAAAAGGGACAGCAGGGAAGAGAGGGGGAAGAAAGCACGGGAAAAGAAACGCCAAAGGGAAATATTACAGAGAAAATAATACAGGGTAAGAAAGAGGCTCTCAATGAAGAAGGAAATAGTATGAAATCAGGGAGACAAAGGGCAGAAAAGTGGGGGATGGGGAGGGGAGAAAAGAAGAATGTAAGAGGTCAGGTATGGTAGGTACTTGGTGAATCAGATGTCAGGCAGGTTGTAATTTCAATCCTAGCTGAAATCTCTGGGTTTATCTTGTGAAACAAATTGCACACTTAACATTGTTAACATTATATGGCACTTTGCAGCACCCCGAAAGTATCTCAAGGCACCCAAAGGTAGTTTAGCACCTTGGTTGAGAATCACTGCTCCAGAGGTCCCTTCCAGCCCTACATTTCTATGATTCTATATAGAAATTCTCTAGGTAGTCAAAACTATGAAATTTCTTATTATGAATTTATACTAAAGAAAGCAGATTGCTATTAGCACAACCAAATTTTGTAATGGCAAGAAGTTAGATCACTGACCATTGTTTTACATTCCCTTGTGTGCAATGTATTGTACTCTCATGCATTTTTTTAGCTTAAGAACAGGTTCGCTTGATCAAAAGTGGGTTTAATGTAATTACGAATCACGCAACCATAGAATTGGCCGTTTTGTATCAGTAATAATGTTCGTGAGGTTTAAATACATTTCATAGAGAAAATAATATACATGTGAAGTTGCTCTTATAGAGACACTTGTTAATGTTTCTTTGAAGCTGATGCGTTTCAGAATAAATGACAGCAAAGAAGAAAAAACACAAGTATGATCAAAAAATGCATTTTCTTACCATCCAGATAGATGTCACTACCTAATTCAGCATCAACCCAAAACATGGAGGCTATAGCACCTAAAAAAAAGGCATTTACAATGTACCAGAAAGTATATATAACGCACAATTACTTGCAGCTGATACTTCTGCCACCACCCATGCCTCCCAATTCTTGAAATAATCAATATTAATTTTTCACCACCATCTGTATGTTTTAATTTACCTGTCTAAAAACTGCACCATATTAATGGAATCCATTTAAAAATAAATCAAGGTAATCTAGAAATGCTTAAAATTAACATTTGTTCGTAATGTGAGTTTACTTTGGGGAGGTCGTACCTATTTTCCAATTAAATATAGGACAACTGGTTTAAAAAATAAGCGTAGCTGGAGTTTTCCATTACAGGCAAAACCTGAGTGTAAAAAACTCCCTGGGGATTTCAACACTTTAAGGAAAGCTGAATCCACTTTTTTCCTTGGTCCCAAAACATGAAAATTAACAGGATATGAATTTCTGGCCACAATTAATAACTTTTTCTAAAAAGTGGTATTATTTTTAACCTACTGCTAGAGTCAGCTATCTTTCCAAAGTGCCATTTGTAAAACTGCTCTGGATGGAAGTGAACTCATTTCCAAAAACTGACTTTATAATGGTTATTAAATAAGATGGTTTAGAGGTTTGGTGTTTTTTGTTTTTTTTTTTTACTTGCTAGAAAAGTAGAACTTTTCATTTGAACCGGTAGTATTTTGTTGAGCTGATAATAAACCATCATTTTTCTTAAGTTCAGTATTTAATGAAACCTTTTATTCTAATTTTAATGTTTAATTAAAGTGAAAAATACGGAATGCTATTATACTGTTTATATCATATACCCACAGTAGTTTACGCTGGATATGATACTTTCCACATGTGTCATAGTAATGGATGTGTGTGTGCATGAAAGAACATTAGCTGCTGCTGAGCTATCCCATACTGTGGTATTTGGTATAGTCATTTACACTTCTCCAATGCAAAATGGTGCAAATTAAAAATTCTTCAGTGTCATCATTTTCCATTTATTTTAGGACTATAAATGACTGCACAAATTATTGAAGATTTGACCCTCAGCCTGCAAACACTTCAGATCCTGGGAAAGAAACATCATATTTAAATAAAAAGTATTTATATATCCTTTCAGAAAAATGAATCCTGGGGTGGTAGGTGCTGCAAATGCCTCAGAAACAAAACATTCTGCCCCCGATTAAAAAGCAATCCCCAAAACATGTAAAATAAGATTGAAGGAGGAAGTTTAATAAGTTGCAGCAAATATCCATTCGATGAAGAAAAATATAGGAGTATGATATTCCTGTTCGTTACTGAAAAGCCTCAGTAAAAAGAAAAAAAAAAATGAATGCTTGCAGGATATATATATTTAAAAATAAGAAATCATAATTTGTTTGGACATGAACTGATTTAACATGCATCTATGCCACAACAAAAAGGAGAGGAAGAACTGACAGCAATGAAAGTATTTTATTTTTCAAAGCATCACAGCTCTAGTTAGTGACAGGGCTGTCTAAGAGAATGAAGCACATAGGGAAAAACAATGATAACTGAACTAATTCCAGTGTCTAAAACCGTCCAGATGTGGTCCCCCAAGCATCACACTGTGTCAACACTGAAATACCTGTCAGCTGTTTACAGTGATTACTCACGCAAGATATAGCAAAGGCCACAAGATCTAATGGTTTCCTGATATCTATTGATTTTTTTCCCAAAAAGCTTAATAGTTTTCCAATTTGACTGAAATAGGATTTGTGTGTAACAGGGGCTGAATCAATGTCCTTTCTTTTAAAGAAAATTACTTTACCATGACAATTATTTAGCTTTGAACTGGAAGGTGTCAGTCTCCTAAATGGGAAACAACTGAATTGCCAATAAGCACTTCCTTCATTTTCTTGGCCAACAACAAGTTTTTAATTAACAGAGGTCAGAACAGATTGTTTTAAATAGCTTTTCTTAATTCCTATCAACACCTACAGAACATTTTTGTATAGTAAATCATCATAAACAGCACCTACCGAGTCATCTGTATTATTTACTATTGGGTTATCATCTATGGAGGAAAGACTGTTTGAAACACCTATAAATTCAGTAACACTTAACTTTGTGCTATCAACTGGAAACTACACATTTCTTTATACTACTTAACTGTGTGCAAATTAACACGTTTGCTTGGTTTCACTATGCATTGTGCTTTAACAAAAAATCCAAGTCCATCAACTACAATCCGCATAATAACAGTAATGACAAATTGAAAAGTGCCTACATATAAATAGGGGTTTGGGTTGTAGCCGTGTTGGTCTAAGGACATAGGCAGACAAGGTTCCTTGGGAGAATTTGATATCCTAGCCTTCAGACAAGCACCGAACCTCGCCAACCTCATCACCAGAAGCAAACTTCCTCAAGCCCAGAACACACCAAAAGGATCCAGACCGTGCCAGGACAAGAAATTTAAACCTGCCAACACATCTCCACCACCCCCACTATTACTACACCCCACAACAGAGCCATCAGCATCCCAGGATCTTACAGCTACACCTCCAGAAATGTGATATACCTCATCCAATGCACCAAATGCCCTGATGGAAGATATGTAGGAGAGACCAAACAACATCTGCGCACCAGAATGAATTACACCGGAAATCCATCAAAGACAGAAACACTCAATTACTGGTGGGGGCACATTTCTCACAGGAGGGCCACTCTCTCTCCAATCTCTCAGTCCTGATCCTCAAGGGAAACTTACACAACACTTCCCAGAGACGAGCCTATGAGCTCCATTTCATCAACCTGCTGGATACCAGAGATCATGGACTAAACTGCTGCAGCTTCCTGAGCCTGACGAAGGGTTTTTGAACCCGAAAGCTTGCTTAATAACTATTCTCCAACCATTTGGGTTGGTCTAATAAAAGATATCAAATTCACCCAAGGAACCTTGTCTGCCTATATCCTTAGACCAACACGGCTACAACCTAAACCCCTGGACTAAACATAGACATTGGATTTTTGATACATTATAATCTGCCTGGCAACTGACTCCCCAGCCCAGCCCAACCCCTGGCTTGTTTACTTTTCATTCCATCCAGGAAGAGCGCACACCAACTGCTGAAGCTTCCTTAGCCTGACGAAGGGTTTTTGAACCCGAAAGCTTGCTTAATAACTATTCTCCAACCATCTGGGTTGGTCTAATAAAAGATATCAAATTCACCCAAGGAACCTTGTCTACATATAAATAGACTTCCATACTCAGAGCTGAGAATTTTCCAGTATATTTCACTCCATCCTGATACCTGCTTCCAGTTATTTTTTATCCATACTTGTTTATTGACAAAATATTGTATTTCTTTTTTCTTGTTAGCTGTCAGAGCCAATACTAATATGGGAAAAAGGACAAGATTCTTTTGCACCAGATCACTTGACTAAGCCTGCATTATAGTCTATTCTTTAGGCAAAAAGGTGCAAGTCTAGCAAAACAAATCATACTTGTTCCAAAATAAAAGATTGTTCATAAAAACACACCCATGACAAATGAATATGTTATACTTGTTTACCTGGATCTGCTAAACCAGTTGTTTCTAACAGTATGTAGTCAAACTTTCCTTTCTTCTGCATCAGGTTCTCAATAGCCTTCAAGCCATTGTCTCTGCAAAAAAAAAAAAAAAAAAATTAAATTATAGCAACACTCCAACCCTACTTAAACCTAGGCAGAGAAGGTTCTTTGGGTAAATATAATATCTTTTATTAACCCTAAGCATCTGAGCTGCTAAGAGAAAGAGATATGCACATCTTTTGAAAATAGTGCATAATACTTGAAACAAAAACACTGGGTGTCAGACCTCGTAGCCTCATTTCTGGTTTGGAAGCTGAAGCAAAAAATAGGAAAAAAATTAGCTGGAAACTGAATTTAGTTCAGTTTCTCTTGCCAAGCACAATATTTATTTAATTCAATTGACACCGTTCCATTCCACCAAAAACTAAACGTTTTGGACACTTATAAGAAAAGCAAAGAAAACCTTGAGTTACATTTCCCAGACTAACAGTAGTAATAGCACTCATTAAGCCAGAAGCGAGGAACAGTAGATTTTAACTTGAGCATTCCACTTCCAAGACAGGTGTCCTATTCATGAGGGCACACAATTTTTGAAATGGGTAACTCTCAATCCTTCCATGTTAAGGGGGCGGGGGGAGAATCTCATCTTAGAATCGAGTAAATATGGTATTTTTCTGCTCTCACTGGTATGCACAATTTATCTCAACATAATATCAAAAGCCATCAACATGCTCTTTATTACCAGACAACTACTGGGTCTGCCTTTTCTCAGTTTTGGAACTTCATTATCACATTCCAGAAATTAAATCGCAATAGTTTTCTGTAATAATTTCCAGGCAATAGCATTCAAGAATGATTCTGCCTTGAGACAGAACATAAAAGCATTTAGGCTAGGAAAACACTAGAGGAAATAAACCCTCAGTAGCTGTTTGCACAGGTGTCTGCAGACTGGTAAGAGCATACATTTGCCAGTTTCATATGGAAAATGAAATTGCCATATGAATTTCACTGGTAGTTCTATTAATATCAGATGAAAAAATTAGGTTAAACAAAGCAGTCAATAATTCAATTATTCCAAGTTTTACCTAATGGGTAAAGACTTCTGAAAAAACAACTTTCCAAAATACAATACGTAAATATCTAATGGGAAGGCAATTGTAGTAATTAGTCATTGTGTTTTAAGCTGTTATTGATTTCTGATCAATCACTTAGCTCAGGTTTTATGCTATAATAGAGGATACACTCCTTTTAGGAAACCAGAGGTAAATGGTGAAGTAATAAGACAAAATTATTTTATTTTCTTGTAACCATACATACAATTCATTCTTCTACTCCTAATAGAGCAGTCAATTTTGATACAATTATGCCAAACAGACAAATATACAAATTGATTATATACCAAATTGGGGGGGGAGAGTTCATTTCAATTTTAATTAAAAAAATGGAACAGTATTTAGCTGCTTTAAAAAAAAAAAAAATCTATGAGCCACTGGCTGGTAACCTATGGCTCATAGGCTGAATCTAGCTTGCTAAGCAATTTCACCTGGTCTGCGAAGCCAGGACACTGGGGGCAATGCAGTAGGCTGGGTCAGGAAGTGCAGCAGCAGTAATCTGGCAACAGGGGAAAGCAATAGCAACTTGGTCATAAGCAGTAGCATGCCTTTGCAAAAAGTGGTGCTAATTTGGTGCACTGCCCTTAAGTGTTGGCTGATGCCTGTTAAAGTTGACTTACTTCCTAGAAGGTAATCAGATTCACACACACAATGGACTAAGCAAAAGTTTACCCACCCCAAGGCAGACTCAAAACTTACTCTTGACATTTTTTTAATTAAAAAATAAAAAGGCAAAATATTCCTTACTTTACTGAACAGCAGAGACAGCCATTTCTGAGCTCAAGCCATTCTTCATAGAGCTCTCCACCTTGGCTTATGGCTAAGGATTTCTCCAAGGCACTTCCTAGAAATACAGGAATAGCATGACTGCTATATTTTTTATCTACATGAATGTGAGAAAACATCTGAAAATAAGATGAGAAAAAAATAACACTGGAGGTTTATTTCTAAGCTTGAGGGTATATCGTATTCCTATTCCACCTTCCCAACAGGTTCTTCAGACATAGGGTGACCATACGTCCCAAGCAAACTGGGGTAGTCCTGGCTTGCCCAGGATATATGGTCACCCTATTCAGATAGTATATTTGGTTCACAATCATCATTATTTTAGAGAAATTTAAGGTTGAAGGGCCAGTTATTACAACATGAAACAAAAAAATAAATAAATAAAGGATGGAAAATGTGCAAGGACAGACTGAGTTTTATCAAGCAGGAAATTTATGTCCCACTTTTTTAATCACATGAAACCCTCATTACACAATCTTATTATCTGGGAGTCTATGACTTGGCATAGAGATATAAAGCTGGAGAAAAGTCAATCTCAGAAGCATAATCCTCCTCAAAACCACTGAAAACTTCCCGTCTTAACATAGCTTAATACTAATTCAGGACATACTGCTGATTATCAATATTAATTAATAGAATCCTATGCTGCTAAATCAGCCTTTGAAATAAAATGTTTTTTTATCCAAGCACATATTACCCAACAATTCTACATGAATGTAATTTTGGAGGAATGTATGCCTGACTTTGAGAGGGATGATGACGAGGAGAAAAAAGTAAAGGGAAAAAATCCTCTTTCAGTTAAATAGCATTTGCTTGAAATTGTTCGGATGTTTGCAATGTTAGAAGTTTTTTCTATCTACATGAATTATCAGGCAGAAAGGAGAGGAGGTCTTTGAAGTGACTACAATATAGTTACTTAAACTATGCTGACAAACTGAATTTATGTATAAAGAAGAAATAGTTTAATTCTTAACATTTCCATAGTGCTTTACATTTTCAAAACAATGTGTAACTATTAACTGAAAAGTTCTGTGACTTGCACTAGTTTTAAATGTATGGGTTGCATCCAAATGAGTATGGATGTGCGGGCCTGTGGTGCCACTCACTGAACGTGCAGGTGTTCCTTGCGCTGCTACCTTGCAGCATGGGGAGGGGGGGTTGACCCAAAACCAAGCCAAAAAAAAAACAGGGTAGCACACATGACAAAACTGGAGCCTGGCTGGGCAGCCATGCTCTAGTCACTGGCCAAGCTCCCAGCTGCAGAAGCATCACGGCTGCAGCTCCCTCAGGTCACCAAATAAGGCTGCTGGGACAGCACAGTTGCTGGCCCAAGCCTTTCCTATTCTAGCCGGGGTAACCTGCAATGCACCAGAGCACACTTGGCACAGGTGTTCCATGTGCGCCGCTGCTACTTGACCCTGGGGAAACAAGTGTCCGTGCTCACCTGGATACGGCCACAGAGTTTATACCTCTCCAATAATACTTAGTTTAAGATGGCAGTTCCAGACATTTTTTCTGTCACTGCCTCTCCTACAGTCAGAGTATTCCATGCAATCCCATATGCACAGTTATTACTGTTCAGTGCCTGCAATTACTAGGGAACAAGGCTTTACTACTACTCAGCTGGTTCATAATGTCTCTTCTGCCCAGGCTTCCCCTTCCATATAAGCTAAACTGGGACAGTTCACACCTGAACAACACATGCCCATGAAGTCTACTGTTCTCTAACATGACTCATTGAATCTTAAAAAGTTATCTATAAGCAACTACTTTTTAAACAAGATGCAAAATTACCAACCAACAATAATATAGGGTAGGGACAACACAGGACCTTTACCCAATTTTCCGTACTGCTTCTCCACGAACAACAGCCATGCAGAAACAGAGCAGGGCAAGCAGCTACATTTAAAATGAATGCTAAGTTGTCCCAAACCAGGAAATCTCATTGTGCAGCTTCAACAGTTACATAGTCGGTCACAAAACAAACAAATGTTCACATCAGACTTTTTTTGTGACTAGGGAAGCTTTATTTATTGATGCACACATACCTCTGTTTAGTTTAGTCTTGTTTAGTTTGGTTCTGAGCACTCCCACGTTTATATTTAACATGGCATAATAAAGTTAATTAGCCTTCTATCAAACAAAAAGGATCTCTCACAGCCCAAATGTATGTCATTTTTTTTTTTACTTGTCATTTGACACAGGTGAGGAACTGCAACCACTACTTACATCACACCCCCAAACTAAGGCTCTCAAATAAAGACCATATATCATCTATTTGCCAATCATAGTGTGGTTTATTTTCACCAAATATTGCTTTTCAAAATGTACTGTATCTAACATGAGAAGTATTTATATATTTACATTTTTGGATTGTATGCAACATTTCTGTAGTTTCACATACCTTCCCCAAATTCATTTAGAATAACTGCTATTCTTTTGTTGTGCTGCTCTGTCAAAATATAATTAAGAAGAGTCGTCTTCCCAGCACCTACAAAAACAGTACAAGTTTCTGTTATATCAAAATAAGGAGTAAAATTAATTCTGGAATGCAAGGATAGGGTCACATTCCTGAGATGTGCTTTTTAAACATTACTGAGTAGTTGAGTAGCTGCTAGTATTCAGTCTCTGGGCTGAACTCTCCTGAAACATGACTTTTAATTTTTATACCTTTGAATTCAATTACCCTCCTCCACTTTCACTAAAGCAGGGGTGTCAAACTCACCCCTGATCCCAGGCCAAATCCAGACCGCAGAGGATCCTCCTGGGCTGGATCCACCAGGCCAGCAGCAGTGGGTCCAAGTTTGGGTGGCAATACAGGTCCAGGAGCTGCATGTGGGCAGCAGTACAGGGCTGGACAGCAGAGCAGGGCTGTGTTCAGGCAGTAACATAGGTCCACATTTGGGCAGCAGCACAATTATGGGGACTTGCCACCAATAGCCATGTCCATCAGAGTCCAGGGACCCCAAATTCTGTGGTGAGCTACACCCCTCGCAACTTTCTGTAGCCTCCTCGACTACCAGAGGACCTGATAGACTGGTTTTGCGAGCCCTATGTTTAACATCCCCATACTAAAATACTTGAAAAGAGCCCCAGAGACAACTACTGTATCCCCGCAAAAGTCTTCAGGAACTTGCTCAGTTTCTTCCACAAAACTGAACTTTTTAAAGAAATGCACCAGCTCCCTTTCACATTAGGTGGTCTCTCAATGGCAATTTCTTTTTTATTTCCCCCACTGATAAATCAACAGGGCTGCATTTCAACTGTTTTTGCAATATGAAAAATCAGCCTCTTTCAAAGAAAACTTCAGTGCCAGTCACTTATAATATATACACATATATATTAGTGTCATAACCCAAAGGTATGATTTTGTGTGTGCTTCGGCACTAGAATTATCCCCGCCAAATTACAGCTTCGTTGCACGGTAGTTTTCTGCTGCAGAGGAGAACCCCAGTGCAAGGAAGAGTTTCCCGCCAATTTGTAGCTTCCTTTGCAGGGTGCATTGCTCAAGTTGCAAGAGAAATGCACGGTGCAAAGGAGTTCCCGCCACCCGCATGCAAATTTGTGTCCCGCTATTGGCTAGTTCTAAATTATTCCCACGTGGCGGCTAACGATTGGCCTGCTAGCCGTATAAGAGGCTTGAGCGGTTTCCGCCCAAGCCAAAGAGGACTCCACATTCATCTCGTGAGGACTCTGGGTACACGGCAGGGAAATAAAGACCCCTGTGTGAGATTCAGAGGAGCTTGGCGACCTGATCCATCGCCCACCTCTTCCCATCTTCGAGCGACAATTTAATAAGACGTATCTACGAAGTTTCTATTTCGGTGGCACGCTTGTCCAGGGCATCCGGAGCTCTGTTTCCGTGGAGCCTAGCAAACTCCACGTGATCGTTCGTGTTGTTTTTGTCTATAACCGCAACTCAAGCAAGTTTTCCAGCCTGCACCGCAACCATCTCCGGTGTAAGTAAACAATCTTTAAATCTACTGCTATGAGTCTGTGCCTAATTCTAGCTTGACGCGCGCCCTCTCTCCGACCCCGCGTGCCCGGGCTGCTGGCCACAGCCCGCGGAGAGCACAAAAAAGGGCCCGGCTCACGCCCGGCCCGCACAATTAGATGCATAGACGTATCGCATATATATTATATGCATATATATGTATATACATATCACATATATCTAATACATTACACACACACACAGCCTTGCATGCCCCCCCTAGACCAATCCAGTCTGAGGGGGCCAAAAGGTTGGGTAACACAGTTTAAGTAATTTATGTATATACATATGTACATGTATATATGCTTGCACACACGTGAGCATGCACACACATGCATGCACACAGACATGCACACGCACGCACAGACACGTGCACACATGCTTTTTCAAGTGCAAGAGTGAAGCATGCCACCAATTTTTTTTTTTTTTTTTTTTTTTTTTGGATTAAAAAGTGTGCCCCAGGTATCAAAAGTCTGGGAAAAACATGCCTGTCCAGAGGGAAGGACACCCATGGGTCAGTGGAGAGGTCCATTAAGCTAAACAGGCCATGACCCAAAACGATTTTGCAAGCCCTTGGGCACAAGAAGAGGGTTTATGACAGGGGTAGGCAACCCCAACATGGGTGCCAGGGAGTTGCACACAAAGGCATTTTGCTTGGCACTCATGCATCAAGATGGATGGCACAGAAGGAGCCTGGGCTGTGGTGCCACAAGGATCAGGCCCCTTGCGGCTCCCCACCCTCCACCCCTGGCACTCCAACATCTTCCAAGTCAAGGTTGCAGGTGCTTTTGTCACTGTGCCCAAAATGCTGCCAACCTCTGGTTTATGACATTAAGTGGCATCAGAACTTCAAGCTTCCCCTTGCTGCTTCTGACAGAAAATGGACAGCACTGGCCTAAGAGGGAGATTTGAACGGATGCATCTGCATGGCACTGCAGCTCATTTTTGTCCTGACACAGCAACCACTGGGAAGGCAGCTCCCGGGCTCGGGGAAGCTGCCCCACAGTCCTCAGTACCCAGAAGCAACAAGTGACCCAACTGAAAGGCACACAGGCTGCCCACTCCTGCTGCGCAGCCCCCAGCAACATCAGTGAGCGGCACCAACACAGGCACAATATGGGCACTAAACCTGCGTGGGGGGGAGGGAGGCTAGCAAGTGTAATATGCAGCGCGCTCCGCTCCAAGAGTCACTTGTTACGGTACGTGGGCAGTCCGCGCCCCCCGGGGTCATTACGGTACGTGGGCAGGGGGCTTTAAACGTCCCCGCGCGAGGGCGAAAGCTCATTGGCTCCCCGTCGTAGTGACGCTTAACGCCCCCTCCTCGCGCAGCCCAGAGGCCCCGCGCCCCTCCCCCGTTACCTAGGTAACCGGTGATGACGGTGACCGGGATCCTGGCGCCGAGGCCGGGCGAGGGGCTCCGGTCCCCTCCTCCCCCGGCCCCGCCCGGCGTTCGCACCGCGATGGGGACCAGCTCGGGACAGTCCTCGTCCTCCATGGCGACGACCGCTGGAGAGGTGGGGCAGGCGTCGCCACAGCTACACTCCGCGCACGCGTTCCCGAAACCCCGCCCCCTCTCGGCGAGCGTCACGCGGACGCCAGGCTATGACGTCACTTGGGCGCGCCGCCGGCTGTGCCTACATTCGCTCCTGCTAGCGCGCCAAGGGTTAAGGAGGCTGATCCTTTGAACTGCCCCCGCCTCGCTGGGATGTGTAGTGCGTGCGCAGTTTTCCGCGCCTAACCACACCTCCCGCTGGCCTGGGTGGAGGAAGGGAGCGGGCGGGCGGTGCGCATGCGCAGTCCAGTTTGCGGGGTGGTGGGGGTGTTTCTTTTACAAAGGGAGTTTTTAAGCTCCGTGACGTTAAGTTCCTTTTTACGTCAGGATGCAACATCACGTGGGTGATAGGTGTACAAGGAAGCTCAGAGAGAACAAAACAAGTGTCCTTGGTGGCTTTTGTTCCCGTTGCACCTGCAGCCCTGTCCCACACCAGCGCCTCCCAGCCAGGGGCCCCGAAATCCTGCCGGGGTGCAGTGGGTTGCAAGGTTAGTGCGGCCCTGAGGAACGAGACAAACCCAGAGAGTTCACATAGGAGTTCACGGTGTACAAAACATTCTGTCCTGTCCTGATCCTTCTGAGGCCTTTGCAGCAGAAGAAAAGGCTTTTGCCAGCTGCACTGATGTCCAATAGGCATTAATCATCACACCAAAAGTGTTCACCTGCACTAATGCACTTTAGTCTAATTCACATTGTCACACCAAAAGTGTTCGTTTGCAGTGATGCGCAGGAGTACTGATTATGGCACATTAAATTCTGTACCTGTTATTACAGGTACAAAACAATGTGCCGTGTTAGAGGTACTAAACTTAATGCGTTGTAATTATGGTGCATTCATGACTGTAGATGCACCTGATGTGAGTTTCAGAGTGAGGTTATTTCATGCGTTCTGTTTGGAAAGCACTTAGCACAGTGTGTGGACACTACTGGAAATAACATGTACGTTGCTTGGGTCTGGAGTTTATTTAAATAAAAAAGTTATCCTTCAGAAAATGAAACTGACCCTAATGAAACCAATTGAAAGAAGAACGCAAAACAGTACGTAAAACAGGAGAGAGAAATGAAGGGCTTGATCAAGCAAAACTTGAGCATGTTGTTCTTTATAGATGTGAAGAGTAGCAGTGACTTCAGTGAGATTACTCCAGTGTAAAGTCAAGTGCATAAGTGTTTGCAATATTGGGGCATAGGAAAAACTAAGCTTCTGGGTATGTAAGTCCTGCATCTTCAGTGGGATCCTTAACAGGCAAATTGGTCTGCTAGCCTAGAGCTCAGTAGAAGATCAAGCAAGCCTGTATCTTTGCAAAACAGCAACTAATCATGCATTTTGGGCATGATGTAAATGATCTCACATATGCACACATGGAGATGTAAGATTTTTATGAGATTCCTTTTTATTATGCTATTACTACCTTCTTATGCTGTTAGGCTGCAGGGTTTTAAATGCCTCAGCAAGGGGGCTTATATATACAAGTATTATTTTTAGTCAACAATGAAAAAGAAACACATGACACTCAAGTGATCTAATAAGATCCTTACTTGTAGGATTGACCTTTTTGGGCCACTGGGTAGGGAACAAATTATTTTTAATATCATATTTCCTCTGCTCACTTTCTGCTTATTGTGAAGAAGTCCAAAGACATAGTTTTTGTATTCTTTTTAAAAAGTAGCAGATAATGACAGTTTTACATATGCCATTATCCATTCTCTTCTCTTCATTGTTGGCAATATGTGTGCAATTTTTTAGAAGTGTTGCTGGTTGTCAGACATCTGTAATGTCTACATAAAAACTAGAACAGGGAAGGAAATCAGAAGGTTGCAAAATTATCTCTGTTCCTTTTCTGTAGCTTCAGTTGCACAGAAATGCAATTAAACAACTGTTTTAAGTTTCACATGGACTTTTAAGTATATTTCTTTGCTATTCTTTGCTTATTTTAATGCTCCCAGTGACTGGGGTAAACACTAAAAAAATATTTATATCTGACATTCATGGGCTAACTTATTTTCTGTTAAATGTATGTAAGTTATGAATAAGTCTATTGCCTTTCTTGGAGTTGATTTGGACTGATGTCAGTATAAAGGGTAGCAGAATTTGACCATGTTTTTTGCATGTACTTGCATTAAATAAGAGGATATGCAGTTATACCAGCCATTACATTTTTTTCTGTCTTTTTGTACATTATAAGTGTGTAAAAAAAATAAATCACAAAACTTCTCAGATATTAGGTGTTTTTTGTAAGGTGGACCACAAGACAAAGCAGAACATGAATCTTACTATACTTGGGACAAATTCATGTTCAGGAAATCAGATAAGTATTTGAAACTACAAAATTAAATAGTCTAATGTATACTAAATTTATTGGCAATGCTCTTACTGACTTCAGTGGGAACGATATCAGACCTTAACTCCTCAGTGGGCACGTCTACACATGCACTAATGCACCTTTTCTAATGCGCATTAAATTTAGTACCTCTGGGCACCTATACAGGAGCACCAAGAATGCTCCAACATGCTAGAATTCCAGTGCATTGGAGCAGACTTGATTCATCGGAGCAGACACAATTAATCAGCACCCCCACACTTAAAAATGACAGCAGAGGCACTTGTAAAACTCCTTGAATGAGCTTTAGTTCAACCACCCCTGCCGCCATTTTTAAGTGCAGGGACGCTGATACATGAGATGCTCCCAGAGCCACTCCAATTAACCCGGCCCCCCTACCACTCCTTTTTGTACATGTAAAAGTGCCCTCCAATATGAGGTACTAAACTAATGCGAATCAGGCTGTGCTAATAAGCAGTAGTGCATTTGCATACTCTTTTAGTGATGCTTAATACACAGTAGACTATTTTCCTGTGCGTTAGTGTAATGTCGTAGTTTTTTACATGATGCTTTAATGCACAGGAAAATAGTCTACTGTGTATTAAAGCATACTTGTAGACACACTCAATAAGTATGAATCTAAAGCCTTCCTACAACAACAGATATTACTTAGGACATGAGCATTGCTCTATCACCCCTCCCCATCACAAAAGCATGTTTAATGACAGACTATTATGACATTATCTCCCGCATTAACAGCTCAATAATTTGTATGCAGAAACTGATCCTTTGCAGGGATGTCACTAGTTAAGCGATAATACCCTCCTTTCTGTGACACTGTGGTAAAAAGGGAGGTTGCCGGCGGGAGGTGGGGGAAGGCATCTGAAAATGCTTGTCATTATGTCAGAAACCGCCAGATGGCATCCAGAAGCAGTTACATATTATTTGATGGTAGTTCCTTAGTCTGTTTTTGATGCAATATCTTATACCAGGCTGCCATTTGCTTTCTTGTTGGCACTTTTTAACTGCTTGCTTTAGTGCTTGATTTGATTTCCAAGGGACATGACAAGGCCTTAAGGCATTGAATGCACTGGGGACAATTAAAATACAAAAATGCAAATTATTTTTTTTTTCTTTTGAGTGGGAGGACTGCTCTACATAAGGCTCTTAAAAGCAGGTCTGTCTGTCTTTTACTTCTCTGTCTCCATGGGTGCTACGATCTCTTAAAAGCAGTTATATTGTTGTGGTAAATTTCCTGAATGCAACTACAACCAAAGTGTGGTGGAGCAGCTGATGCAAGGAAAGTATTTTTGAATATTGCAAACAGCAAAATAGACACTCGCCCATTGTCTGCAAAATGATGTGTGTGTTTATAAATTGTATAGATAATTTGATGCAGGTGCAGTAGTCATCTTGCTCATTCCTTGAGATATGCAGTTTCTCCATTGGACAGACAAGGACTGTAGAGGCCTTATACTTGTTTAACTTGGTTCAACAGCTCTTTATTTCCCACCCCGTGTTTGTAGCTCTGACAGCAGATGAAGCTATTCTTGTGGAGAAAGTAATACATCAAAGAAAAAGACACAGCATACCCCACCTCAAAAACCCCAAAGCTTTAAAATGAGTTTTAGTAAAAGGACGTACAGCAAGGATTGATTCCCTCTGTGGGTCTTGCAAAGAAGAAAAGGGAAAATTCAAAAACATTTCTAAAGCATAAAATAGCACAACTTGCTCCAAATAGTCAATCTAGGGAACAAGTAGGGAATGACCTGTTGCAGCTTCCCTTCCCTTTTACTGTGTTTGTTTGTCAGTCTGTTCTTAGACTCTGAGCTGTTTTGAACAGGAACTGGTATTTAATTTGTATTTAAAAAATGTGTACCACATCACAGAAGGTTCTGCAGAAATTTGGAAGAATACTAATGGCCAGATTCTCTACCACGCTCATGTAGTTTACTTATTCATAGCTGTTCAGCTCTGGTACAAGTTTGAATCTGCAGAAAAACAGATTCAAGTTATTCCAGTAACTCTGTATCAGTGGAGAACTGGGCATAGGAAAATCCTGTGCTACACCCTTTATAATGAACACAAAGTAAACTCAACAAACCAGAGACTGCAACCCAATTTGGGCAAAAGGAACTGTACTACAATAAAATTTCTTCCCTGGCCTGCAACTGGCCTTTAATGACAATATAGAAAATAAGTCAGTCAGTCCTGATTCTGGTGCTTTCCATCTAAAGGTGAACAGAGTTTGTGGTATTTTAAGAAGAATGCGACAGCGGATCAAACAGGTTGTACATATATGTCAGAAGCTTACCTGGACATTGTAAATATGAGTTTAAATTTCTCTGTGACTATACTGCCAACTAGTTATAATTACATCATATACTGGAATAGCTTTAAATGCAGATTACCAGGGACAATATTTTACCTTGATGCACACAATAGGTAAAGATGGTAAGGAGTGAGGCCCAACAGTTTCCAACCTCTCTTACATTCATAGTTGATTGATTGTGAAGGACAGACCTACAGAATCATAATGCTATGCTTGGTGGCATATGCTTGGACAATCTATGCTTGGTGGCCCTGAGAAAGGAGAAAATCCCTTGGAGAGATTACCAATGAGTAAGCAAATTTACCACCCGTATCTTGTGGGAAGGAGGGAAAGTAAAACATTTAAGACAAAAAAAATCCCACAAACTAGTTTCATATATTCCTAGTGATGCAACTGGTTTCCAATCAATATCCGTTCTGTTCTTTATAAATTATTTTTCCTTTCCTTATTTATTTTTCATATCAGCTCCTCAGGTCTCACTGATGCTGAAGAAAACCTGTGTTCTGTTTATGATGTACCTAGATTTATTTCCATTACCGTTGAAAAATTTATTTCAAATTTTGGTTCAATCCCTCAGCTGCTCTGTGTTTCCCCTCAGGCATATAGCATGCACTTTTAAAAAGCCACATGTGAAACCATGATCTGGTGGTTGACTACCTCATAGTACTTTACTGTATTATTTTTAATAATAAAATTAATATTTTTATTAAAGTAAATTTACACTATTTATTACATTTTTAATTTAATGACTTATTACCTTTAGATCAAAAACACAAATTCTGTCATCTTTATATCAAGTGGCACCATACTTCACAAGAAATCCTACTGTAATCTACAGGAGCTAGACAGGTGAGATTTTTGATTGTGTGCAAGTGTATCAAGCAGATTTAATGGGAGGTTTTCTAAGTTGGGGGACCTAAACCTGGATCTGCCTTGATTCACTAGCATCTGTCTGTAGTATCTAAGTAGTCATGTGTGATATGAAAAATATAAATTTTAAGCAAACACCTCACTTCTTTTAATCCTTAAATCTGCACCTGCCATGTAGCCTGCACAAGAAAGGGAAAAGAAAGCATCAATAAAGAATATTTTAAAACAAATATATAAATAGCAGGAATTGTAAAAATAGCAGGAAAATATTAATAATAATTTTAAGAAAAAGAGCAGTTAAAAACTGCTGAGCTAAAGAAACTCCACATGTAGGTTAGCAAGGAGGAAGTACAAGGATGAAAATAGTAACACCACTTACCACTTTACAACAAGCAACATTGGCTGTTATAGCACAGGGGTAGCTAGTGCAGTGTGGCTAGGTAAAGACATTCAAAATGCCCAATGTGGAATTGATTCAAGTTACACAGTTATCTGTAAGTTTAATTCAGTATTTAACAGAACACATTTTCCCTTGGGGGGTGAGGGAGGAGGGGGAGCAGGGCGCAAATCTTAGATCAGGTTCTGCCATTTTTAAAGCCAGTTTGTGTGCGTCACACTTCTGTTCTGTTACCTGTATAGACTGGTTTTGTGTGCTGAACTTCTGTTCTGTTATAGGTATATAAACCAGTTTCCAATCACTTACACCAGTAAAAGTATAATGTCCATGCCTGGCCTACGGATATCTGCCACTGTTATCCTTTATGCATCTCTTAGGCATCTTTAGTTAGTCTATAACAGCGGTGGTCAACCCCCAGCCCGTAGGCCAGACTTGGCTTGCAGAGCTGTCTCATTTGGCCTACCCAGGTTCCCACAAATCTGAACATTTGGTGGCAGGAGAGTGGTGGCAAAGTTAGTTGCTACTCTGTGCCAAATTTCTGGACCCACAAGGAGCCCAGTGGGTCAGATAGCATGGTCCTGCATTTCAGGTCAAGCCCCACAGAGCCATGCCAAGGTGGTATGGGGCACAATATGGGCATGCAGGTCCCAACCCCATGTGCCTATTCAACAAAGGATTTGGCCCACTGACTAGCCTCATGCCACTCACCCAGTGCTTGGGGCCAAAAGCTTGAACAGCAATGGTCTCTAAGGTGTAACTATACCCTACCTGTTTACCCTTCTATTACACACAAGTATTTTGGATTAGGTACCGGATGAATAGCATATTTATCAACAGCATACTTTTACTATTTTAGATAAAGAACTGGCTTGGCCAGTGGAAAATGAGACACTGAAAGCAGCAAAATGTTTTCCTTGGTACCATTTGTGTCTGTGGATTACTGGCTCCAACTCTCCAACGGAAACTTTCCTTCAGGACCAGGTTTCATTTTCTCCCTTGTTGATCTAGTTGTATCCCCTACATGTTACAGTTTTACAAGACAAGGTACATACAGCAGCTTGTACCACACTCTGAGACAGGGTGGATTCAGAAGAGGTGCACTGGTGCACTTGTACCCCTTTGATTCCTGGTCCATCTAAAGTTTAAAGCCAACTGCCCAGCAGGGGCAGCAGCATTTCTAGTCAGGCAGGAGCCAGTGAGTCAATTGACTTCATGGTTCATCAGAATTTGCTTGATTCCTTCTAAACTCTTAATTTCACAGGACACGTTTTTTCCTTTTAAATGTTCTTTAATGGTTTCCCTGCTCCAGCTATCCTTACTTCTACACTGCTGCTGTCTGTTAGCTGATCCTAGTAATACAGCCTGGCACTTTTTTTTTAAACACTAGCTAAAAACATTAACTTGGGTGTGGATATATGAACTTCAGTGAACATTAGCTCAGGTGTGAAAATCACTTTCAGTGAAGCACTGGAGGCACCGCCCAAATGCTCAAGGAAGCTTGATTTTGTTTCATGAATCTGAAAGAGAGACCTACATTTGACTATAATGACTTTAGGACTAATGAAACAACATTTTAGGGTTATTTTTGCCAAGCATGTTGTAGTTTAATATATACAATAGATGATATAGCAAATGAATGTACATTCCAATAAAGCTTTCTTTCCCCCCTTCAATCTTAAATGGAGGAATATAGCCCTAGGCCCCTGTTTATTAGTGAAGCCTATTTCTTTTTACCTGGAGAAAAATGTGTTAGGTGTGATGATGTCCCACCCCATCTGCACCCCACTGTTCAAAATCCTAGATCTGCCCATGCGCCCAGATATAGGCTCTAAGAAAGGATTCGGCTTTTTGTGCCGAAACCCTGAAGCCTCTTCATGGCTCGTATCCAAGTCCTCGCTGGGAGGCCCCCCCTTGCCTTGCTCTTGCCGGGACCCGCTGGAAGTCAGTGCCCAAAAGGGAGGCACCTGCTGAGAAGATTCATCCGAGTTCCGGGGCTGGGAAATAGGGGTTATGCAAGAAGCCAGGAAGGGCGGCAGCTGGCCGGGGGTGCAAACCCTGATCTCTCCCGGCACAGGACCATGGGGCCCAGGCTCCTCCTGTGCGTGCCAGTGGCGATGAGCCCGGGCGGGTGCAAGGAGCGAAGGCGCGTGGAATTCCAGCTGCAAACAGCTGCAGCCGGCAGGCAGGGATGCTGTGGGCGCCGGCGGGCAGGGGAGAGCCCTCCCCCTCGCTCGGTTTCATTGAGGAAGGTGAAATGCGGAAGTTTCTACGAAGCGCTGACAGCCGAGCCCGGGTGTCTTGAGCCCCGGACATGAGCTGCGCTCCCCGGGCAGCCCCCCCCAGCCGCAGAGCCCAGGGGCGCGGGCAGGGATGGCCACGTTGCCCGCGGCGGACAGGAGGGCGTTTGCCCTGAAAATCAACAGGTAAGACTGAGGGGGCAGGTCGCTGCCGATTGCGGGCGGAGGGACCTGCGCCCAGCACAGCCCCTGGGAGAGACGGGGGGAGCTGGACGCACGTGCGTCTCGCCCTCATTCTGCTCTTGCCCGGCCAGCTCCGGTCTCTGCTGCTCCGGGCACCGGCTTCGTTTCTCCTCCCCTTGGCACAGCGCTAGCCCTGGCTAGATCCAACCTGGTTGATTTAATGCCCCCCCCCCCAGGAAGTTGGCCCCCTCCTCTCCCCCCTGCTTAAGCCTGCTCAGATCATGCGTGGGGGCTGGGGCTGGGGCTCTGCTCAGCTTGCACCTTTGTCTCCGTTTTGGACAGGTAAGACCTGGCAAATGCTTGGTTGCTACCAACCTGTGTTAGAACAAGTCCCAGGTTTGCTTGGAAATGCTGCAGCTCTTGGGCTGGTGCTCTCTAGTCACGAACACGGTTCCCCTCCCCCAGTGAACATGAATAAAGGTATCTGACCGTACAGAGATATCCTTTGCAATATAAGATTAGCAGTGACATGACGCCCATTACCTTCCTTCTCTACTTTTTTGCTTTTTTAATCTTTAAAATGACTGTACCATTTAAAATAATAAACCCCCAAAACACTTCTTTAAAATTGTCCCTATTTAAACGGAAAGAATTATAATTAAGTGGTAACAAGACACCCTTTTTACTGGTAACATTGCCTTCTAGTAGAGCTTAAATTGGGGCCTTTTCCCATAAAAGCACAGATTATTCAATTGGTATGTGCTTTCCGGTAGGATTGAGAAACCGACAACGCATTTATTTAGATGCTGTTAGGTAAAAGGAAGTACGGTTAGCAGACTACCTCTGAAGGCTGCAATTCCAGGTTGATTTATAAAACAGAATAAGCTGTGGTTGACAACATGCAACAAAATGAAAAATAGGGTAACGCTTGATAATGAGCAGTACCAGAGAAGAAAAAAACACCTCCTCTATAGTCTGGAAGAGATGGAGTTTAGAGGTATTAAGGATAAAATTAACTCTTCCCTATCATGTTTTTCCCATGATAAAATACCATTTTATTTACCCAAGCCTTAGGTATTCATTTAAAGTTGCTGGAAGAATATACTATTCAGAACATTGAGGTGTCATATTGAGAGTTTTTCAGATGCTGTATTTCTCTTTTCAACTTCCTATAGACTGTAATAGGAACATTGATTGTCCTGATGACATTACAGCTTCTCTTTCTTAAAGATCACAGTGTCAATACTGAATGCTTGTGCAGTAAATCTAATATTTAAATAAGTCATCCATCATGCCCTGTGATTATAATTTAATAATGCTTATATTTGTTTTGCTAGCATCATCCAGGAATAGTTTTGTTTTACAGAGCTGAGAGATACTATTTTCCTCCTCCTTTATTTTTTTTAAAGCATACCTATTTGCTAGCAGAAATTATGTCTTCTACTTCAAAAGCTGTGGATTACTACTGAACAGGCCAAACCCTGTTTACCTTATTCATACACATAATCCTAATGACTAATTTGCATTTGGCTATATAATTTGAGGAAAGGTAGATTTCATACACAGCTGTAACATTAACTTATTTTTAAAGGGACCTCTAAGACTGAAGTATTTGTAAATCAGAAGACTCTTTTACCAGCATATGCATCCAAACCAACTGTTGCATTCTCCAGCCACAGAATTCTGTTCCTCTTTCTTCAAAACTAAGTTCTTTAAACATTTACATCATATCCTTTCTCCCTGAGCTAGTATCTTCTACTAAATTTAATTCTGCAGTCCCTTCCTCTTAAGAGTTGCACATAAAAAAGATTCTTTCCTTTATCTACAACTCAGCTGAGCTTTTTGCTGAGTTTTATGAGGACTAGGTGATCTTTTCTGCTGTGCTGATTAGATCATGGGGTAGAGATAGCTGTAGTCATTTAAAATACCACAGAGGCTAACCACCCTGTGACTGTCATGTTAAAACAGTTCTTTACCTGCAAATAGCCTTGTTGATCATTAAAAGTAACTATCTTTTCATTTTACTTTTCACTCTTCCTCTAGTTTGAGTATTTTGCTTCATTCAGCATTTGCTTTTTGCACTCAATTTTGACAGTGAAGCTGCATGTGTCAGTTGAAAGTGATTTTAATTTCTTAGCTGTGGGCAAAAACATTTGGGTTGCAAATACTACCGGGAAATAATAAGTTAATTACAAATGCCATGTTTATTTAAAGCAGCTTACATTTTTTTTCAGTTCTCAAAATGCCCTTTGCCTTGCAAGTTGTGCATATCTCTATAAATGTGCCTTCCTGTCACTATTACTCTGATCTTACCGCCCCCTCTCCTCTCTCTTTTGTTTCTTACATCAGACTGTTGCTTCCTGTCTTGCGTGATTCTGCAAAGGCTTAAGCATGTGTGTACATGTGCTTATTTGAGTTGCCCCTTTTGATTTTTCAGGGGGCTACTCATGCACATAAAGTGTTTAAAGGAACAGAGCCTTAGATTGCAGCTTTTCAGGACAGCAACTGTTTCTTACCATATATCTGCATTCTGCCCAGACTGGTGGACTCCTGATTTAATGAGGATGGCTAGGTGCTAGTGTAATACAAATAAAAACAGTAGTAAGTAAAATAATCATGGGAAAAAATCCAATTCAGCTATAACTTCATAAATTATTTTTTAAATAAAACTTAAATGCGAGAACTAAAAGTTCAGTTGTCTCTATGTGTAAAACTAACAAAAGAATGGGAGAGCCAAAGTTGAATCTTAGCAGAAAATCGCCTACATAAAATTCTCTGAATGATATGTACAGCCTGTGTTTGCATTCTTTGGAAATACTGGGTATGCAAGGATGGCCAAATCAAGCATGGAGTATGTTACACTAGATTACCTCTGTTGAATACAATATATATTATCTTTTAGATCATAAAAAGTCTGGATAGAATCTGCAACTAGATGTTTTTTGAACTCTATTTATATGCAAAAGCAACAAAGACACTAATTTTCTGAATGTGCGTGAAAGAGAGAGAGACAACATATTACCAAAAGTTTTGTTATAACACCTAGTACCTGAGAATGCTATGACATATCTTAAAGTGACTTTATGTTGTCTGCAGTGTTTGTGAAAACAACATTCACAGAAGAAATGTTTCTATTTTTAGTAGTTTAATTTAGTTACTGAACTTTTCTATTTTACAAGCCAATTGCCCGTCAAGAATGATGGGGTGGGAAGGGGCTGGGATGGAGTGCCGCCACCTAACGCTCCATGCTACCACCGTTCTGCCGCTTGCAGGGAGCGAGGTGGGGAAGCTGGGGCCTTTGCTCCTCCACCCTCTGTCCAGTCCTCGGCTCGGCTTCAGAGTCATGGCGGCACTCCCCCACGCTTGGAGCACTCTGATTGGCTGTTTCTGTCAGCCAATCAGAGTGCGAATAAAGCATTACGGACGGACAGACAGACAGACACACTTAGGCTTTTATAATATTAGAATCTTCTATTGTACAACCAGTAATATTTATTTATTTTGATTTTGGTCTGAAAAGAAAACCTGTGCCAAAATGCACCTGTCCAAAGTTTTGGCCACAAAAAGTATACAATTAAGAGCACTTTCATAGAGATATTGCAACATGTACAACCATCCAAAGCAGCAGTACCATCCAGCCTACCCCATGCAATGTATCCATCAGTCATGTGAACCACACAGCTTATAACTGTCCATTTACTTTCTCACTAGATAGAAATCTTACCCTTGACTATCTCTGCCCACCACCAATATTTACATATCACAATCTATTTTTACCATTTGCTTCTGTGGTCCTCCCTCAACTTGTTTATCAAGATCACAACTGCCAAAACATAATTACCCTTTCTTATGCTATTTTTAAGAATTATTTTTTATAAAGTGCTTTAGATAATTTCCAGCAAAAATATTTGGGAATGCCTCCATATGGCCAGCATTTGGCTGCAAAAAATCATACTATTTCCCATAGTATTTAAACTCCACTATATTTATACCATTAACACCTGATTTCTGTTCAGTGTGACTTACCGTGCTTGTATGGACCTTGTGCACTGCACTTCATTAAGCCATTTATTGTATCGGTATGGGCTAGATACCAATTATATCTGAATTATAATTTCTAGAACGTCCACTGTTTGGGCCAAGCTATTTATTTAATTGTTTTACATATTTGTCTTGACAATTCAGTTAAATAAAGTCCAAAAAGATTGTCTGCTTTTCAGAATTGTACTACAACTGTATCTTACTAGTCAAGTTTTATATGTAAATTGTATTTTATAAAATATAATTTGAAAGTCACATAAACTAGGATAAGTTTAAAAAAATTGCTACTGATTGTTATAGACCAAATTGTTTCTTAACACCATGGCTTCTAATTATCCTAATACTGTTTATTGATTTGTTTGTAGCCATATAGAACGTGTTATATGTTCATAAAATTATTAATCTTTCATAAACTATTTACAAATATACCCTTAATATTACATGTGACCATTTAGCCAGGCTCTACATTAATTAACCTGGCATAATAAATGATAAGATAAAAGATCTTTTGCTGTTTGTTAAATCAAATTAGAAAATCCTAGGCACATGTGAGAGTAGATTGTGACCAAAAAAGTGCTTGGTCTTGAACACCCTTGATCCCATGAGTTGTCTCATTGGAGTCATCAGAACCAGTTTTATAAGTGAGGATTACTCAAGTGACTAAGATTTAGCAGGATTATGGATCTAGTTTGTTCATTTAAACCAGTGGTTCTCAACCTTTTTAGACTCAAGGCACCCCTCAAAAAATGTGAGCTTTTACACCATGTGTAGAGGAAACAAGGGGCATGTGTGCACGACACTTTAAAGTGGGTGTGCCCGCCTCTGTTCTATCAGGCATTCTCTTGTAGCCTTGGCCTGGGCTATTGATCTTGTCTGTCCCGGGCCTGCGAGTGGACCCCAAAGGCTACCCCGGCTGACGTCCCTTAACTTTCCTGCCATGACTTTGGATGGATCCTCAGTGG